AGGCCTCCTGCGGTGGAGCCTCCCTGCGGCCTCCGTTTTTAGATGCGTTTGGTTTTTCTTGAAGATAAATGTTTTCCCCCACCCGACCTTCTCAAAGTCTGCCAACACACTGAACAGCGAGTGTCTCAGAACGTTTTGACCCTGCTGTTTGCCAAATAATGTACCCTGGGCATTGACAACAACCCCAACACCTGATCCTGGATCTGTTTCTGCTAACCTAAATAACCTATTATGCAATGTAGTTTATCGTCACAACAAATATGACGTGAGTAGGAACTCACTGTAAGGTAATGCGCTAGTATTTACAAGCAGCATGTCATTCTGAAAAATGTTAGAAAATAAAAATGCTGATCTGAGTTGATCTGACGTGTCACTTACGTAACAGAAATATTATCAGCAAAACGTTCCTAAAGTATCAAAGAATCTAACCCTTACCCTAACACTAACCCTAACCCCAAGAACATAATAATATTCAGTTTTTATCACTACGAATACATATCGACCTGTTATATGTTGTAATTTGTCAATTTGGAGCAACGTTTAGCTAGTTTGTCTACAACTGACTCGAGTGGGGTTAGGGTTAGGGTTAGGGTTAGGGTTAGGTTTAGGGTTAGGGTTAGGGTTATGGGTTAGTTGAGTTTTATTTTGATTTAAAAAGTAAATATAAAATGTCTCTCTGTGATGTAGTCGGATGCTTAAAGTGGCAGGATATGTAAATAAGTAGCTTGAAATCATAAAACTACATGTACGTTCCACCCCTGCGATTATGGTTTTTAAAGAGGGGGAAATCAAAATGATTTGCAGGTTCATCTGAGCGGGAACAATCAATTCTGAACTGGATTTTGGACAATAAAGATAAAAACGGTGATGGCATTCTTTCACCGGCTGTAGGTGCTCTACCGCAAATATAAACTCACACAGGCGAGGGTTCATCATGCGGGCAGTGCCGAGTGTGTGTGTGTGTGTGTGTGTGTGTGTGTGTGTGTGTGTGTGTGTGTGTGTGTGTGTGTGTGTGTGTGTGTGTGTGTGTGTGTGTGTGTGTGTGTGTGTGTGTGTGTGTCTGTGTGTGTGTGTGTGCTTTTTCAGGCGATTCAATGTGGTGTATTAAGGAGGATGTGTCACAGTCTGCATTCACTGGCAGCAGGAGGACTCGGAGTGAATTCTGATTTCAGGGCAGGCAGAGAGTGTTGGGTCTGACTCAGAAACTAAACAGTACCCTCTATTGGATGACATGGAGATTGCGTGACCTTGTCTCAGGAGACGTGAGGGCTGGTACAGATGCTGCTGCAGCTTCATCAATCATACACTTTGTATCTACCAATGAGGGTTAGAAAGAGGTGTTGTTACCTCAGGCATTGGTCTATTTTTAGATGTTGGGCTATGTTGCTTCCATAACATGTCTTCCTCCAGCAATTCAAAGGAAAACCAATTATAGTGTTTATTTTTATATTTGCTTTCCCTACATTTCTACTAAATTCACCAGACGTTAGCATTAGATAAAGCACAATAAAAATGTGCCCATAATACCACATTATGCATATTTAAACATGTCTCAAAAAACTTACCATACAACAAATGACTGTTTTAATGAAAGGAAGCAACTTAGGCGGTTTCATGTAGATATTGTTAAGTTCAAATGATTCCCATAGTCGCCTTTAGTGTCTCCTCTATGCTCAAATCTGTCAACTGACACTCTTGAACTAAGACAGCAACTCTTCCAATGTTATAATGACTTTCTTAACACTTGATGTATTTCTCCCCTTAATCCTGTCAATGCCACCAAGTGTGTCCAACACTGCAGTGCTCACCCTTTACACCATGACTCGAGACAATTACTTTACATTTGGTATGCACTGCCCCTGACCACAGATCCATTAAAAAGTTATTCTCTGGTGAGCAAGAAACCCATCTATAATTACAGGCAGCTGCCCAGTGGGTTTAACCGTAGTCCAGAGGCCCCCATTGGTTCACGAGAGGACTCTACGGGGGTCAGAAGAGTTTAATTCATAGTTATATTATACAATGACTAGATTGATCAAAGGCTTCACTCTACTCAACGCAGCTATTCTGACGACTTCCTTTGCAACAACAGATGACTTAAAACGATTAATCCGTTTTTGCAATACCTACTTACAATTTCCGCCAATCTATAGGATTTATATACCAACATTAATATCTACTTTCCTACATTTTGGTCATAATTTGGATTAAAATGCAAAGAAAAGTGGTGCTGCCGCTCTTTCAAGAAAAAGCCCTGCAGTGTTTTCTTTCATTTTGATTTTGATTTAATTTCTTGCTACTCAGGGAGGCTCGAGGCAGCGTTTCCTCACAGAGCATCTGACGGCCTGGTGCATTTACTTTCCTAAAATGTTATCCCCCCGGTAATAGAGTCCTGTTCCCCGCGGCTGCACACACAGTAGGCAGCGAAGACATCATTTAGGGGACCATACGAAAACCTAAAAGCGTAGTAATGACATAAAAGTAAGGAGAAACTAAGAGTTTGTATAACTGTAATACTAGTACATTAAAGCCATCATCCTCTGTCCGTATCATCTGCCATTCATAAAGCTAGGTTCAGATTTAAAGTCATTGTGTGTTAAGCTGCTTTTAATATCCCTCCTGACCTAGCATTTGTTTCCCTGGAGACAAGTCTTCTAAGCCCGGTGCGGCGGGAATTTCAGAAAGAGACAGCAGTGCTAACAGATATTGGCCTATATCGCGGAAGACTTTTTGTCACATTAGGGAAAAGCAGAGGTGTCAATGACAACATTAATGATGGCTTAAATAAACTCAGCTGCTTTTATTTCATTATTAGTAACATCTGTGCTTTCCCTACTGTGACACACGTCAGAAAAAAGTGCTGTGAGGAAGGCTTTAAGAGAGTGTATTTAATAACAGATGGTGCGCCTCTACAGAATATGTTTGCCAGACACTTCTTGTTACAAATGATTCCTTTGCCTTCTGACATGTCAGATGCTCCTGAAAGAAATGTTAACAACATTGTTTTATTCCATTACAACAACATATGTTTTGTCTCACTATTTCTATCTTCGGAAACATTGTGCGTGTGGAGGAGATAGCTGATAGCAACACGCATTTAATTAATACAACCTGTCAAACACAGGTCTAATAATTAAAATGGGCTCAGCTGCATTAAGTTAGCATACTTTTCATGTGATGAATTACAGTTGTGCTCTTTCTACTATGACAACCTAAAATGCCTGCTTTGGAAAATACCTAATGACGTGAAATGGACAAGAGCGATAGCTACCGCTTTTCCGGCGATGACAAAAGGCTTTTTTCACCGAGGGCATTTTTGACATATCACAGTAGAAAAGCACAGGTGTAAATAATTAAGCTGCTTTGATTTCAGAGTCCTGGTGTTGTGTATGTTGGAAAATAACAGTAGTACAGAGCCATCGTTAGTGTGATTAGTAAAACCTGTGCCTGTCCAACTACTATGACAAGCCAAATATGTGCTGTGAACCTCTCTGCTTCTCAGAGACTTAAGACAACTAATCAGAGACCGTTTTGCACTTGAATTGCACTTAACAAGTACAGTAGCATTTTTGAAGTGTCTCATGTCCATAATACATAAAACACTAACTTATAGTGTAGTTTTAATGCTGGAAACTATTGCTGTGTCACAATGTGTGAGCTTCTGTACTTACAGAGTACCAAAACTTCTCATATGGGTTTATTTAACGTACCACTATACAGCTGTTCTGAAGAAGCCATTGTCAATTTTATATTTGGCTAATTGAACAGTATTGCCATTATTAACACTAACGTTGCTAGTTAACAGGGGCTGTAGTCACATCCTGTGAGGGAACAGCAGCCCTGTGCGATTATATGAATGTATACAAGTATATACTTGTGTTTTCTTTTATTTATATTGAGTAAACATATCTCAGTCTTTATGAAGTAACCTCTCTGTGAGCTTCGCTTCAGCAGGTAAACCATTGTGCAATTTGTAACCATTGCTACATTTCCAAGAAAGTTAAAGAACATGGGAAAGATACCAGCTACAGATAGCAAACTAGTATGATTATATAATTACTGTTTGATTTCTGGGATTTTAGGAGCAAGGACAAAGAGTCAATACAAACAAATGTTATCAAATAACTGTCACTATAAGAAAATTGCCCACTCATGTGAGGTTTTTATTGGAATAAAGCATAGCAGCCCTTAAGCTCCTATTTCCAGTCTTAAGATGTTTTAATTATTCAGCTCAAGAAGTGAATTTAGACGAGATATGCTTCGAAAAAAGCAGAATGCATACTACGAAACATTTGCTGATAATTATGGACTCTTATGTTCAATATATTTCCCAAATAGTGGTAGAGAACAATCAAAAAGATAACCCTAAACAACATTTACCATCCCGCACCTTAACGAACACATTACACAGAACTAATAAGATGCCGTGTTTGAAAGTAAGCGAGACCACCACGCATAAAAATGTTAACATTTATTGCTGTTTTCTGAATACCGCACTGAAAGCAAAAGCATTCAGAGTATACACAGAAATTATACAATTATATATGGTTTCACAAAGGCAGTGAACACATACCGTATTACAATCTACAAAAATCTACTTTACAGAAATTTAAAATTCTAAATATCAAAAGGTACAGCTGCAGAAAACAGGTGTAGAACTGGAACCAGAAACTGCTCTGGATATCGGCCGGTGGAACAACATGGTGACATCACGATACAAAGAAAGCGTCTTTGTACTTACAGCTGGTTTTTGTAAACTACAACTGGCAGACGAAACAAATTAACCAATTGAAATGCTTTTTATAAATTATGGTGGGTTTTTATGCATCCAAAATATATAATTTTACAGAAGATGCCTTGTAGCATGGCCATTGTATTGTTAGTTGGATTGGTAGTGTATCATTGCAAAAAATTATAATATAAGGACACAATGAAATAAAAAAAAAAGCCATCTTATAAGGATGTAGAAATCGTTTTTAAAACAATGCATGTTGTCAACATCCTTGGTGGAACATGGTGGAGTAACAATATACAGTGACGGTGGGGGTTTACCTTCAAATCACATTTTTACATGAGCTTCAGTCAGGAACAGAAATGGTGGGGGTAGCTTGTAACGTTTTTATAAATAACCAGGGGCTGGTATGGCTGTTCGGACCCTGGTAGTGGTACACTGGGCTTAAAGGGTACAAAACGTCGACTACAAATCCCGTCAATGTCCAAATAACTGGAGTGGTATTAGAAAAGGAACCAGACCACTTCTGAACACAAAGAAACAGGAAGAATCCAACCAAGAATCTCAAGGCTGCGGAAACCAACCCCTTTTTAGCGACAACTTAAAAACAGATCAATAAAATATTCCAGTTAAGAAATAAAACTTCAAATGAAAAAAATTGTATTTGTATGCCAACATCAATGCCAGGTATTTTCGGAGGAGTGTCCAAAAAAAGAAAGCGGGACGAGGCGTTTTGTCTTGTGTACGAGGTGCAGTTCTCCTCGCTCCCAGTGACAGTCAAGCTGGAATCAAGAACAAGCTGGTTTATGGTCACACATGGCTGCAGGTAGAGAAGGGGGATTTTGGGGGGGGGGTGAGTTTAGTCCTGCTCCATGGGCTCCTCTGTGGTCCCAGTGTTCAAGGTGGCACTTTCCATGGCGCCCTCTGTAGGGGGTTCGGAGGTACTGCTGGAGGGGGCTACGTCTTCTCTGGCTGCGTCCGCCCCCTCCTCTATGCTGCAGCTGCTGCTGCTCCCGCTGCTGCTGCTGCTCACCGGGTCGCTGCTGCTCTCCTCGCTGTCCCTGCTGCTCTCCGGACCCTCCAGGACCGGCGCCTGCTGCTCCGTCTGATCCATGTCGTTGCCCTCCTCCTGGGAGCCGCACGGCACCTCCCTCTCCGCCTGCTCCGCCTCCGCACCGGAGCCCGAACACGCCTCGGCCTGCGTGCTGCTGCTGGGTTCTGTGGGGAGACGCGTTCAAATGATATTTAGACAACATGGTCTTCAGACCAATCTTTCTAGACCAGCGGTTCCCAACCTGTGATCCTCCTTAGCAACGGTCAGCACAGTCCTTGACAGCGGTCTGTACTACTGGATTAACAACGTGTCACATGTTCTGAATTGGCCAATCAATATTTAGCCTCCGTATTGTTTATGGTTGAATGTGGGCCGCGAAAAGAAAAATGTGATTCTTAAATTGGCCCCGAGTTGAAAAAGGTTGGGAACCGCTGTTCCAGAGTTTTATGATTGACGGATGGATGAGTGGTTTTCTTGTCGGCCAGTAAACTTCAAGAACCAAACACTCTTCAAAAAGAACACATCATCCCCTACAAATAATCATTTGTGACTTATACCGTTGAGATGCGGAAGACTTTAAAAGGGATATTTTGACAATGTTGTTGGTGTTGGTGAATGTTGCCCTTATTTACTTAAGAGCCATCAGAGCTTTGTACATAGGGGAGGCTTGCGAGAGGAACAAAGACACGTTCAAACGCATATTTAGACAACATGGTCTTAAGACTAAAATTACCCAAATCTTTGACAGTTTTATGATTGAGGATGGATGAGTGGTTTTCTTGTCGGCCAGCAAACTTCAAGAACCACTACTCAAAAGAGACACATCATCCCCTCAAAGTTACTTTGGAAACCAGACTTGTCCTTTTGAGATGCGGGAGATTTTAAAGTGATATTTTGAGAGGAGCAGAAGTTATACGGGGTAGTGTAATTAATATACTAATATTTCTGGACTCAATGTTTCCTTTCACAACTGCAAGAAGCTTTATACATTTACATTATAGGTATTTTAAGTCGATTATATGACAGAGATAAGACTGATAACAATAAGCCACTTAACATATAACATCTTAGTTTGAAGATGGCCAACGTTATGAAAATTAAGTCCACCTGAATATATCTTTTCCACAAACTGGTTAACTTTTTATACAATCTCATGTTCAATAGGATTGCAAGTCGTGCCTTATCGAGCCATCTCCTCCTGCATAGACTATGAGAAAGACTTTGGGCATATTGAACCTCTTTGCTGTTCTTTTGAACATTGTCCTTCAATAGAAGAATAACCAGTCGCAGCTCAAATTGTGCTCGTTTTGATAGAGAAATGAACTGAGCTTTAGGAAATGTAGATTAAAGCTGTGGTTGGGAAGAGCCTGTCCTGAACGGGAGCTTAGAGAGACACATTTTAAGTATGAGGGCTGCAGAGACTTTCTTTGTTCATCTGTAATATGTCGCCACAATATGAAAATGCCAATATAGTCACAACTTGTCCCTCGATTCAGTCCAAAAAAAAAAACTGGCTGCAAACGTGTAATAGTATCAAAACAGACACCGAAACAGCAATAAAACTGCTTTGGATAAAACTCAGAAAAGGATTCACAAAAGTTAGAGCCGTTATTCAGATAACAAAAAGGATAAAAAATGATATAGTCGGCACTGACTTAACCTACAAGGGTATTAATAATCATTTAAATAAAATCAATATTCTTGTGGTTTTATGTCACTTGTTTTTAATAAACAATAATTTGTATTTACTTGACTTTTTATCTTTAAATATCTTATTTTTACATTCTTACTTGCCATTTGGATATCGCACTGGTCCATATGGTGATTTGAATAACATTCATATTAATTGTGCAGCCCTAATTGGGTGGAAATGAATAGTGTTGTTGAACACAGCTGTATCTAATAACTGGAAAATGAGTGTCATACGCAGCCAAAAGAAAAAACAGCAATTGCATTATTAGTCCAGTCTTCCTTCCATACCTGTGGGATTGAATTAAATAGGGATGCTCCGATCGATATTCACTCTTTGCCGATCGATCGGTGCTCTCTATTAAGGCCGATCAGGAGAGCCGATCACATGACGTAAAATACATGACACTTTTCTCTGTGCGCGGCAAAACAAGCTCGCCAAAATGGCTTCACCGGTCTGGCAGTATTTTAAGGTGTCCGAAAAGACAGTAAAATATCGGTATGCAACGTGTGTGAAGCAGAAATCCTGCAGCTCCGCCCGCTGTGACGGACCGGTGAGCGGAGCAAAACACACACTAACGGCCCGTTCACACTACAGCTTCAAAAACGGTTCCAACGCGTCTGCCCATTCACTTTGAATGGGGTGACGTCACGTTGCCTCGCTTTTCGCCGAACTGAGTTGTGGGTAGCATAGCGGTCCGTCTCGCGCTGCAGAAGTTGAACAATGTTCAACTTCTGCA